GACATAGACATAAAATGTAAAAACTTAAATATCTTAGAAACAGTAGCCAATCCGTTGTTTTAATTGTCATATTTGAATTCAGCACATCAAAATACATAATAAATAGCACATTTTATCTCTGAAGCAGACGACTTCTCAAAAATTGTAAACCAGTGTATCTCTCTCTCTCTCTCTCTCTCTCTGTGTGTGTGTGTGTGTGTGTGTGTGTGTAGGGAGCTGATACTACAGGTGAAGCTATTAGCACGTTTACTGATTTTTTTCATTTGACAGCCAGAAGTGCTAAAAGCGATGAGCCAGTGAATAGCAGAATCTGACATGGATCATTTACAACGAAAATGGAATCAACATCATCTCGGCATGACAGCCAATTTCAGGATCTATTCGAGCTGTATCCTTTCCCTACTGCCATACGATTGTAAAAATGGACACTACGCTGCTCGGACTGGGCAAAGCTGGAGGCTGTCCACACAAACTGCCAACATTATATATTGGGCATAAAGTGGAACCACTTCATTTATAACTGAGAGGTTTATGATCACTCCGGTTTACAGACTACTGGGCCAAAAGTCCACAGATGGTATATTACGCTTTTTGGACATGTCGCCAGAATGCCGCAAGATGTGCCAGCGAACGCCGTTCTCCGGGTGCCGTGTAACAGCCAGGATAAAATTCCATCAACTGAGGGCTGGAGGCGGCTCAGAGACAGAGACCCCATTATATGGGTGCAGCAAATCTGTTCTGCTGTTGGACTCTTGGCCCCATCAAGCCCTTGCGTCCGCACAGGAATGGACCAAATGGCAAACAATCACTCTGTCCGACTGTCTAAGCATTGAAGAAGAAGTGCATGACCTGAGGGACAGAAATGAGCTATTGAAATGGCTGCTGCCACTTGCAGGGAAGGAGCAGGAATACCGTGGATGCAGTGCAGCGTACAACTATTTACCTGCCATGTAAAATAACTCTGTCCCTTTTTAAAGGCCGCTCTTCTCCACACACACACACACACCCCGCAGTTAAGAGACACTGATGCCCTTTGTTGAGGCTTCTCATGAAACAAAGCCACGCCCATATAATTCTAGTGGGAGGGGGCGGTTGTGTTTGTTTTTTAGAAAATAGTTCCAAAATATTTGCATGTCCAGAAGGGTCTCAGATAGCTGTTGGCTAGCAGCGCCTGCTATTCCATGCTTCAGAAGAATAGGTATTTTCCCTAGAGCATAGGCTGCGTATTTTAAATAACTAAATCAAACCCTCATGACCTTTTGCACAATCTGACATATTTTCTAGCAGATTTTTCAGAAATTAAAATGTCTGTCTTGGGACAGCTGGTTCTTCTTCATGAATAAACATGAAGCTAAATCTGTTCCATACCCTCGAGGATGATTTCATTTCCCTCGCTTGAATTCTGTTCACGATGGCCTACCTCAAATGGCTGAATCCAGAGTCCAGCTCTTCCCCGTCCCTCTGCTTTAAGGTGTCAAGGCAACAAACCAAGGAGCCTAAACTGCAAATGAAATGCGTATGCTGCTTATTTATTTATTTATTTATTTATTTAATGTTTGTGGTACAATGTGGCTGCTGTGCAGCATTTGCACTTCTGGGGTTCTGCTTCAGGCTGACTGATCTTGAAGGTCATAATGGAGACAACTGATGTCACCCAAATCTCTCATCTGTCTGAACTCACGATTGCTTTTTTAATTAAACAGCTGTCAGTGAAGTGCCTCGCTCAGCAACGTTTGTGTCACCAGTACCCTTCCCCCACCGAAAAGGGCAAATGCTTTGAAGAGCTCTTTTCTGGAGGAAGACGCAGAAACATGCTAATGCCAGAAGAAACTCAGTGTGAGCTCTTTTTCATGTAAATACCCTGAAAATGCAGTCAAACAGTTGGCTGACTCAGCAGCCACACATCCCCCTATGTAGCAAAATCCAATCGTTTTCCCCCTGGGGAAATGTCTTATTGCAACTAGCAGAGTGAGACTGTTGTTTTGCTCATCATTCAGCGATGTAGTAATATACTAGCTGATGTGATCATACAGGGTCGTAAAATCTATTGGAGGGAGCTATTGTGGCTAGACTCCCCATTCCTTCTTTCTTGTCCTGAACACAAGTAAAGAAAGGGGGCAGGAGGATAGGGAGGGGTGGTCTGGGCTTCAGCTTCTCCATCTTTGAATAGATACAGTAATACTCACCTACCTCATAGGAAAGTTGTAAGGCTTCATTAAATTAATGTTTTAAAGCACTATGGCCTGGAGCCACAAAGATACTTGGGCACCTAACGCCCAGGTTTAAGCACTTAAATTCCATTTTTAAGGCACTATTGCAATCCACAAAACTTCTGCTTGGCTTCTGCCGAACCCTCTAGGTGCCTAAACTCACTCAGCACCTATGTTTTTAGGGTAAAAGTTCCTCAGGCACTTAGGTTTTTGCCTCTGGGCATGCACACTGCTACCTCCCTCTATGTGTCCAGACACCCCACATATCCTGCCTAAGCTCTAGAGTCATGCATACCAGGGGAGGAGAGGTACTCCTCCATCTACCTCACATGCAGGGCCTGACCTGGCAGGCATGCTCAGAAGCTGCCTAACTCCACACAAAACACCGAGAGGGGAAAGGAGACCCTCCCTTAGCCTAGAGTTAGGGTATTCACCCAGGATGTGGGAGACTACAGTTCAAGTTCACACTCTGCATGATGAGAAGGGATTTGTAGAGGGATCTGCCAGCTCTCAGATGAATATCCTAGTCACTGGACTATAGACTGAGTCGTCCTCTTTCTCTGGCTTAATTAAATTGGAACAACGTCAATAGGTGAGATTAAGGAAGATCCACTCTGCCTCTTCCTCTCCTATCACAATAGCCCAGTGGTTAGAACACCCACCTGAGAGGTGGCAGATCCCTGTTCACAGCCCTTTTCCACATCAGGTAGAAGGGGGACTTGACCTGGGGTTTCCCACATCCCATATGAATGCCCTAACCACTAACTAAAAGTTATAAGGAAGCTCCTCCTTCTCTGCCACATGGAGTTAGGCAGCCTCAGATCAGGTCCCACATGTGAGTTAGGAAGAAGAACACCTATTTCCCCCCAGTTTGTGGATTTCTAGCAAAGTGAGGCTCCTCCCTGCAGCCCAGACTAAGGCGCCTGTCTCCATGATGGGGAGAGGCTTAGGGCACACCTCTATCATCAACATTTCTCATTGGCTATCTTAGATGACTCCCCACCTAGCATGCTAGCTTTTGTGGATCTAAGACGCCCATCTCTCCCCATTCATTGTAGAGGGAGCCTACGCTCCTAACTCAGGCTTTGCAGCTTGCCGTGTTGTTCCTCTGATTTTCTAAGTACCTTGGAACACGTAAGTCCTTTTGCGGATCTGAGCCTATGATAGTCTCAAATAAAAGGTGCTAAGGAAGTTGTAAGTAGTAATATTAGATTTTGTGTAATAGCACTTCTGCTGTTTATGGGTATAGATGTACTCTGCACTCAAAGCAAGGAATCAGCAGTTTAAGATTCTAGCTAATTACACCTCTGTCAAATATATTTTAATACCAGGGAATAATTCTGTTCATTAGATGTGGAAGCACCTAATATTTCTCCCTGAAAATGGACAGGCTGAGAAATAGTCAATGTGTAAGATGAAACTGGTACCTTTTGTAAATGATCTATAGCATCAGTATAGGAATACATACTGCAGAACCAATACTGCATAAGAAGAACCCTAAACATATATTGTAGGAGAAGTCTCAGGAACAGAGGCTTTCAGAAAGATTTCATAGTATTTCCCTGGTATTTCAAGGCTCCCTGTAGGGTTAGAGCAAGTTACAATCCCCATTCAAGAAAACATTACAATGGCAATTTAGCATAAAATTTGATATTTTTAGACTTGTCCTTGTTTAAGCATTGAAGTAAAAATGATGATCTTAGCAACAAGACCTAATTCTAGGTCTACATTTCAAATATAAGGGACAGTTTCCAGATTTCACATAGGCCTGTTGAATTTTCATAGTCCTGCTCTGTATTTCCTGCTATTTTTCTGTCAGAATAAGATCTCCACCTGTAACCCAGTGATCCTAAAACATTTACAGATGGGTTTGGAAAGTACAGATAGTTTTGTTTCCTGCTGTGTTAATCGGACTATTCATTTTAACAGAGATTGATAATGCGGGCATCAGCACTCATTTCATTAGCTGGAATAAGCTCACTAGCAGTAACGATACATCCCTTGTTTTCAGAACTGTGTAAAACTTGTGTTATTAAACTGTGACGTCATGAATTACTCAAAGGAAATCTGACCCCTGCTATCAATTTACAAAGGCTCTCTGACTCGTCAAGATACTTAAATTAGAAAAGCAGAAACAGTTTTAAAACCTACAAAATATGTCATTGAGCTTCAGATACAGACGCTCCCCGGGTTACGCAAACCCGACTTACTAAAATCTGCACTTACAGAAAAAGTTCCGTAAGTTCCGTAAGCCCTTTTTTTTTCTTTTTGCGCAATTGTCGGGTATATGTTCCTGACTTACGCAAAATTTGACTTACGTAAGGCATTCTGTAAATTGGGGAGCATCTGTAGTTGGTTTTAAAACATGCCATTTTCCAGATTGAGACATGGTAGGTGAGGTAATATCTTTTAGTGGACCAACTTCTGTGAGTGGAAGAACAAGCTTTTGCGCTTCACAGAGCCCTTCCTCAGGTCATGATGAGCTCATGAATCGTTAATAAAGAATCTCTTTGGAATTCACCACTAAATTTCAATTCACTGTTATGTATACTATTTAGTCTATCCAAACCAGGGCCAGTTTTCGCATGAAGCTAATGCATATAACAGCAACAGTGGTTATCACTGAATTGTAAGTAGCAAAAAACTGTTCTTCAGTAGGTTGCATTCCTATAACAGAACTAGCTCATACAAGATTTTCATGACCTAGACACAGCAAACATATAGTATTATGAGGTGTCTGTAATACTAAAAGAATTATCATGTGTAGTGATTTGTGAATTCAGAAAACAATATTTACATAAAAGCAAAACAGTCAAATAAGGGAAGGCTACTTGCAAAGCAGAGTAAAGCCAAGGAACGATTTCTGTTTGCTAAAACTTAAATAAATGGGTTTATAAGCATTACAGGAGAGTGTTGTATGATTGCAGGAAAAAAGAAAAATTCTGAAGATCACTGTGTGACAAAGGTTTGTGATCTGGAATAATTTCAGGCACCAGAATCAATCCTGAGTATGACTAAACTAGGAAAAAAACAAAATCACTATGTTAACATAACAGCAAAGATCTAGCATCCCAATTAAAAGTAGCAACTCAATCTTCAGTTCCCTCTGTTAGGAATTTCCAGTTGTCCATCTAACCCACTGTCCTTTCTGACAGTGGCTGGCACCAAATGTGTCTGAGGAAGACACCACTCTCTTAGGGTCTCCGAGCCTGGACTCCAGCCTGAGCCTGAACAGCTAAACTGCAATTTTTTGCCTTGTAGCCTGCCTCGCCCCCCCCCCCCCCCGAACCTGAGTTATTTGACCTGGGTTCTGAGAATCGATGCTGTCGTTTTTTTATTGTAATGTAGATATACCCCCCAGAAGCCAGCTCTGATTCTCTGGCCCCTCAGCCCCAGCTGTGATGCTTGGCTCCAGTTCCTGTCTGGGGTTTGACTCCTGCTTTGACTACTGGGCATGACTCCTGCTCCAACCACTAGGCAAGACTGTTCATGTTCCACTCATGTGACAAGCAGGAGAATATTATTAATGAGACAAGCTGCTTCTGTTTTATACAGACTTTCTGCAGGTGTTTTCACATTTACCCGGTTTTCACATTGTGAAACACAAATGTGTTTTCACATTTACCTAGTTGGTAAAAAAAAAATTCAAAACATATTTATGCCCAAGGTATTTCATGTCCCTTTTCCAAAGGGAGGTGAACAACTAATTTCTAAGTTTGATACATCTGCTCAGGTAAAGCTAGTTAACAAAGGGTCTGAGAAATAAATGTCCTCCTTCCATTTAATTACATTGCAACTTGCAGGGGGGAAATATCAGCAATTCACATTAATAAATTTGTTTAAAATCCTTTTAAGGTAGATTTTAAATTGAGAATTCTGTGCACATGTAACTAAAAGACTTGCTCTGACTCTTTAAGAGGAAATACCATGGGTGAATGCAATTGGTTGCAATTTCCTTCGCTTTCCATCGTGGCCTGTAGTTTAAATGTGCAGCATGTTGATGTCTGTGGGACCAGCAAATGGGCATGCAAAGGCAGAACTGGCCCCACACAATCCACAAGAGGGCAGCCCTATCATTTGACAGGAGACGGAGAAAGTTACTTCTAGAATACCTTTACTCCACACTGGGCTCAGAGGTTCCGTTACACGAGAATTGCTATACTGGATCAGAGCAATGGTCCATCCACTCCTTGTGCCTGACTGGGGCCAGGACTATATGGTTTGAAGGAAGCTTTAAGAAATCTCATCCTATATAAGGCAACAGTGGACGTTCTTATTCATATGAATGTCTCACCTCTTTCTAAACCTTACCATGCTCTTGGCCTTAGTAACATCTTGTGTCAGTGATTTCCACAGGCGAATTATGTGTTGCATTTAAAAAATGGTGACTTAAAAGTTTCATTGTTTCCAAACACCGAGAGCAAAGCCACAAAAATATTACAACCTCAAAAATGTTAGTTGGCTACAACATAATTTATATTAATTATTTAGCCATTTCTCTGCGCTGAAAGGGAGGTGAAACTTGAAAAAAGGTAGCAAATGCCCTAGACATACGCCCTGCATGAAACTGAAAGTTTCAGCATTTGAATGCCAGTCTCCCCATGTAGTCATGTTCGAGCTATCCATCCAGCACTTTTCGGTGCTTTGCATGTGTGTACGTCCACCTCCTCCAGGCAGTCTCGACAGCGCACAGCGCAGCACCAGTGGAATTTACATTCGCATTTTGTCATCCGGCTGATCCGTGAAGTGTCGTAACCTCTTCCACAGCACATCACCTCGCAGCTGTCCATACCGCGGGAAGTTTGGTTACAAACCCGGCCAGCAGTCCCGAGGGAGCCTAGAATGGAAATGCATTAAAAGTCAATTGAAAAGATGTGGGGTATTTTCAAGAACGGTTGAAAATATGTGAGAATATGTAAGCAAAACAACCATTAGCCAGGCACTTGAGGCCATTAAAGCAAGATGTGTCTCTCTTTGCAGAATGAGAAGTGGAAAGATAGGCCAATTAATTTCACATTCTACCTCTTGCTTGTTGAGAGGACCAGAGACAGACTGATTCTCCAGCACCAGGCCACTTGCGACTGAATATCAAGCAACAGAAAGGGCAAATACTATGGAAAATTGCATTCAAATTATAGATAGGGAAGCTTTGGTTTTGCAAAACCTCACTTTGGGTGAGGGGAAGAGGAGGTGGAAACTGAGGAGTGGTTCTAGATTTGGCTCATTTCTGTTAGTATTACAGTGTCTTACTTCACCTGTCCCCTGCCTCCCTGCTGTTTTAATTCTACCACCTCTCACCCAGGCATATGTACTCCCTCCTGGCCAGGTACCCACCTGCAGCCAGGCACCTACGCTCAACGCTGTGAGAGCCTGGAGACCAGAAGGGAGCCACTGTGTGTGGCTGCTGGGTAAAGGGGGAGAAAAGAAGCCCTACAAAGAAGCTGTGGACTGGCTATGAACAGAAGACCCCAAACAATGGTGTCTGTTATCTGTATAGGAAACAAGCAGCGAAGGCAGAAGCAGTTCCTACCAAAAATTCAGCACAGAAGCACCCAGTGCCAGGGGAGCCAGCCAGCAGTACACACTTACTGATGGTGGCACCAGTGGGCTGGCCTCTCAAGCCAAGGCCTGGGACAATTGCTCTGGCCTAAAACATCTGTGGCTATATCTACACTGCAAAGTAAATCAGGACCCAGCCTTGAGCTCAACCCCAGCCTCCAACTACACACAAATCTCTCAGACTTGGGCTTGGACCTAGGCTCCTAGGCCCCTGGGGGAGGGTGGGTTGTGGAGGATTCGAGCCCGAGTCAAGACATGACACAGGGTTTGAGCTCTATTGCTTTGGCAGTGTAGACACAACCCTGATCTCTGACTCAGGCCCGGGAGTACACCAAAAGTATCCCACAGTCCCAGGGACCAACTTCCATTGTCCCCTCTATCCCAAAAATCTCTAATCGACTCCAGGGAAAATGGAAGCAGCCCTCCTTCATGTACTGCAGAGGCTCAGTGAGTCAGCATTAGCCCTGCCATTGTCCGCTGACTGTCAAGCTGCAACCAAACCAGCAGAGAGCCTCCTGTGTTTGCAACGGAGACTGAACAGAAGGCGGCTTTTGCAAAGCACGCTGCTTCATGGTCACAGGAGCACAGCCTCATTTTGGTGAATCTCTGGTGGGAGGCCAGAAAAACAGTGGACTTTAGTAAGAGAATCAGGAATGACCACACATAGTAGCAAACAGCAAAGAAGCTGGCAGCTTTGCAAATTTACCAGACCAGTGACCAATGCAGGGAGCAGATTAAGGAGCTGAAGAGTACCAGAAAATCAGGGACCAGAAACGCACCTTGAGCAACTCGCTGACATTATGTTCATTTTATGTGGAGTTTGACTGGGTGCTGGGAACTGTGCTGAGCACAGAGCCAACGGTCACCTGGTCAGCCAGGATGGTGCCCTGCTAGCCCCAGAATCCAGCATAGGGACTGATGGGAGCCAGCAGTAGGTGCTGAGTGAGGACAGTGAAGTGACTCTGTTGGTGAAACTGGTCCCCCAGGAGGCTTTGCTTCAGGAGCAGCAGCAGCACATCCTGGGACTGTACTCGGAGGAGCTGCTTGATGCCCCCAGGAGAAACAGCCTGACATGAAGCCTGCAGCAGACACAGAAGGGGCAGAAGCTGCCCTGGAGCCTAGTAAATTTCTGGCTCCATTTTAATGTTTATTAATATAGGATTGGGAGGGATTTCCGTTCTCTGAAACAATGCAAAAGTTATTAGACGCCCCGGCTAGCAGAGTGTATCCATTAATGATGAATTATATGTCAGCGGCTGGCTCTCCCTCTGACCTCTCCCCCCGCCACATGGAGTTCAAAATGGCAACCAGGAAATGCAAACAGTAAAAATGCCTTGAAAGTGAATTTTTACTGGATAGGCACAGATTTTTGTTAGGGCCATTCCTGTTTCCTAAAAATAATCACCTTACAGTGCCATGCCTGTAAGTACTCCACTCTGTAACGAACTACCTGGGAACGGTGAACTGTGCAAGGAGGAGGTAGAAACATTTTCCATTCACAAATCTAGTCCATTTCAGTTAGAGGTAGTCCAGGCAGTCCATAGTGCCCAAGCATCGAAAGCCCCAGAATCAACGACCCGCATCCCACCCCACCCCAAAAGCACATTCTCTCTCTTCTATGGGGCCATGCAAGTCCATAAAGTGTGAACACAAAGCATCCCTGACCTCTGTTGTCTAGGTGCATCCAGCTCAGCTGTGGTAGCTGCACGCTCTAGCTGAGTGTACCAATTCAGCAGCCCCTCACTGTCACAGGTCCATTCAGGGGAAATGGCTCCCCTCTGGCTTCACAAAAATTGTGATGAGCAGAAAGCCCCAGTAATGTGGACAGCAATGATGATATTGGCATCCTAATGGGTCTGTAAACATCTCCAACAGGATTTCAATCTGCCAAAAACAAATTCAATAACAATTCTACACCTGCTGAGAGTGTAATTAAACCGTCTTGTGCCAGGGCCTCTGAAATCAGAGTACGGTTTCATAAGTCAAGGCAAAAGCAGGTACGCAGGGCCCCCAGAATAATGGTGGGGACAGGAACTCTGTTTATGACAATGTCATCTGATGGGAATAGAGTCCCAGCCTGTCCAGGAATGTAGACTCCCGATCAGCAAAAAACCTTAGGATCATGAACTTTTCCTGTACAGTCCACGTTGACATTCATAAATCTGCCTTTGTGGTCCACTAGTGCCTGCAAAACAATGGAGTAGTGCCCTTTGTGCTTTATGTACTCATGTGCTCCTTGAGGAAGGCAAACTATGGGCACGTGCATCAGTGGCCCTGGGGCAGTGTAGAAACCCCATTCTCTCAAAGCCAACAATTACTTCAGGAATATTCTTTTATGCTTACCACCTAGGGGCAAAGCACACACCTGACTGTCTCAAAACATCCACCACTTTACCTACAGTCGACTTTCCAATACCAAACTGGTTGGCAACAGACCTGTAGCAGTCTGGGGTAGCAGCTTCCAGACAGTTATAACAATCTGCTTCTGGACTGGCACGGGTGCCCTCTTAGAGGATTGGGGAAAGCTGTCACAAAGCTCCAGAAATGTAGCTGGTCATCCCAAGTGCACATGATGATGTGATCTCTCCAGTCTGTGCTTGTGGCCCTGCTCCAGAAGTTCATAGGGGACATCAGCGGCTGTACCAAGTGTCACGAGCAGTATCGAGTATGCCATGTCTGAGTCCTCCTCCTTTTGCTCCATCATAAGCTGTGTCAGGTGCCTTTGGTAGGTTAGAAAATGCCACCAAAATGTCCACCAGCATCTCACAGAAGCCCTGCCCATTTCCTGACACAGGAGTGAAAGCGCAAGCAAGAGAATCCTTCAAAAGGCTACTCCTACCTGGCGCTGGCTCCAGTAGCTGGGAGCACAGAGACCAAAATGACTGCTTGGCAGGATGTGTTGGTGGTCAGTTCAAACTTCCTGTAACATGCAGGGGACAGTCAAGTTTTCCCACAGTGCATCAAGGTCAAAGGCCACATTTCAGGCAGGCACTAGGGAGTCTGGGATATGATTGGTTTGACTCAGGTCTACATGTTGCACTGTGGACACCAGTCCCCCAGGTTCAAGCCTGGGGTAGAAAATTCTTAACATGGGATTAACAATCAGTGTAGATGCTCAAGCCCTGGGTTCTCTAATCCAGGCTCAGCTGACTTGAGTCCCACTAACTGGGTTTCCATTGCAGTGTAGACATACCCTGTGGAGCTCAGTCTCTCTGCCTGTAGAATGAGGCTGATACATGGTGGCCTGTATAAAGTGCTCTGAAATCTCCTGAGAATAAATTCAATATAAATACAAACAACTCGTCTTACCCCTCCTCAACATGGGTTAAAGTGGACTTTTCTTTCCACTTGCAGGCTTTTTAAGAAGTGTAGGAAGGCACTGGAGACATTTTACATTTCTATGAAACATTAAAATGCCTCTTGCAAGACTCAGAGAGCCTCTGACATTCCCCCCATGGTGAGAACGGGCTGGATTTACTTTAGAGCTCTAGAATTTTCCCACAGTGCACCCTGGTCAAAGGGCTAGTGGCCACATTTCAGCGGGATGTTGTAATACCCTCTATTTTCTAATTTTTCCAGGGTTAACCTGAACAAAAAATTCATTTGTTGAACTGAATGGAAATGTTTTGTTTTAGGTCAGATTGACATTAAACTGTATGAGTCTGAGCTGCCAGGCTGCCTCCTGCCCCATTCTCTCCTACGGGCCGTGCTCCTTGGCTGAGCTACATATCCCGTGAAGCATCGCAACCTTCCCTCTGGCCAGGCCTCCACAGTGCATGATGGGAGTCCCATGAGTAGGCGAGATCAGCCATTTTTACTTAGTTCTCAGCAGGACATTTTCCTGTCTATGGAACAAAACTCTAAATTAGTCTGTCCTCCTAGAAAATGTGCAGATGATCACTACTGTGTCCTAGACATGTTATGGGATTCTGGGCATGTTCAAGTGTATGGGATGATCACTTCATCCCCAGTGGCTGAATAAACACAATACTGTTTCTTGTCTCTGCTCAGGCAGAAGACTTGTATGGACAAGCCTGTGGCCAATATGATTAATGCCTGGTATTAAGAATTTGTTTTGAATTCCTCCTTGCCACCCCACATACACTTAACCTGGTTCCTGTTATAGCCCCTCTCATCTGTTCTATTCTTTGCTTTGTGTACTGTTTTAACTTGCTGATGGGAGGTAAGTCTTGCCCATGGACTGCAGCATGTCTAGAACACTAATCTATAACAACCATGTTTTGGATTAAGTTTCCAGTTGCTTTGTGCTCTGTTTGC